ATATGTCCCTCACAGACTCGGACATATATATATATATATATATATATATACATATGTATATATGCATATATATATATGTGTATATGTATGCATATATATATGTACATATATATGCCCCACAGGTCGCATATATGCCCTGTAGATTACATATACATGTATATACGGACTATGCACATATTTTGACTTCGAGAATAAAGCTTTGCAGAAACCTGAGTTTTGTTTTCCTATCGTCGTGAAACCTTTTAACAAATAAGGTGCTCTGCTGAACAATACAACGTTGTAATGGCACGGAGAATTTTTCATTCGTTCCAATCAACATGCGACATCTTATGATGAATTCGCCGACCACATGCATTACACTGTGAAAGTCGGACAAGGAAAGTCGCTCAAGAAAACCATCCTGGAAAAAAAACACAATGTATAAAGAGCGCCCGGTACATCAGTTTAGATCTTTCGATATTAATGGAGAACAAGCGCAAGTATGGAGGCCTTTCTTTCCTAAGATGCATTAGTGCTACCTCCGGCGGTAATAAGTATGCCGCTACTTCCTCGAAGGTGGCATGAGCTGTCATTTTTCTCTTACGCATCAAAGCCCACCAATCGCTGCATCAGCGGAAACTTCCTGATCTGCCTGAGTTTTGCTTCCAGTGAACATGACTTTCTGTTATTTGAACTAAGTCACGCCACTCTCTTAATCTACCTTCACGCAAAGGCCGGCTTTCCCCAATTTTTATCCACTCGTCCAATTATCTTTCGAGCTAAATTTAGTGTCCCACACGATGTTTTTGCGCTTGATGTAATATCATTTTAGCGCTCTCTCGGCCGATATTTGCGCCATTCAATTTCAAATAATTTCTGAACCAACTTCAGCGTCTTCCCCTTTCATAATAAAAACGAATGCATTTTTGTACATTTACTGAAATGCAAAAACGCATACCAGCAAAAAATTATGTGTGTGTTCGTATCCTGTCATCCACTTTTAGCTCAACAAAGGGGAAAGCTAGTAAGCTGAAACTTTTAGACCAAATAACAACGCTCCAAACATAGTGGTGATGCTCTATACGCAAAAATGGATATCTGGAAACGGCTTAAATCTCACGAAGTGCTTTTCCAGGGAGAATCGTTAAGCTAGTAATCCTTACAAAGCAGCGAAACGGGAGTCGCACTATCCACAACACAAACATTTGGTAATGCAGCATTGGTAAAAACAACTGGAAAATGCCAGATGCGAAGTTGAAGAATGGGCAGGCCCAAGTATTCCAAGCAAAAAAGCATATAAAAATAACCTTTGACCTTGCCGCTAAGAAGCGGCAACAGCGCTCTTGAGATGTATAAGCTGTATGTTCGGTTAACAGAGCAATAGACTGTTCTACCTAAAAAAAATTTACTCCTTGAGCAGAAAAAACTTTTTAACCCATATTAACTTGGAAAATAAAGCATACCAGTTTACTGGTCTACATTAGCTTTCTGCATCTACTAAATCCCCTGCGAAAATTAGGGAAGGACGCGATCAAAATAAAAATCAGAAAAAAACGTGACTGAAACAACCCATTTGAGTAACACAGGCCAAAACAAAAATCAAAAGCTCTGACAAATTTAGAAGGATAACCTGCGCAAGAGTGCGACATGGCATTGAGAGAAAAGCAGCAGGCGTTGAAGCCGCTGATCTCACTGCTGTCGTGGTTGTCGATAACCCTTCCACGTCATTTTCGGCAGGCGCCTCTTTTGGCTCAAATGTTCTGTCATCACCAACTTCGAAGCTCACAGTTCGCTCTCTACTGATATCATTATCGCCACCACCATGATCGTTGTCAGCAGATGCAGTAGCAGCAACGTCGACAGTTTTGTCATTATTGAGAGCCAAGGTTGGCATTGAAACTCTTTCCTCTTCTGGTAAAGCGCTTTGCTTTAGATAATTATTTATTTCCGCTTCCAATTCGTCATCTAATTCGCGTTGTTCGCCTTCTTCAACAGCAGCATTTATCAACAGTGGAACTGTCTCAGTATTTGCTTCCGATCTAGAAAGAAAAACATCACGTCAATAATCGTGCTGTCTTTTTAGAATTGGTCAACGCACGGGCTGCCACTGCGAAGATGCGTTTTTTGCATAGTTCACTGCAGTTTTTGTCGCTACCGGCATCGGTTTTTTCGGCAAATGCTTCTAGCTAAACAAGACTGGCCGCCAGAGCTGGCAAGAAACATCCCCTTAAAATTTCAGCTTTCTAGTTTTCCTGGCTCCTGAGTTAGCAACTTACTGGAAA